GGAGGGGGGTGGGGAAAGGTTTGAAAGGGTTTCAAACGGCCCTTTTTTCGCACCGTTTCACCTTTCAGCTCGTGTATCCCCCGCCACCTCCGCCACCCCGAGCGGGAGGGGAGGGGGGAGGCTGCCTTGGCCCCTGCAAAGCCCCGTGTGTGCCGCTTCCACGGCATCATGTGGCTCCCAGATGGCAGCGCTGGGCCGGCTCCAGCCGCGGCTGCCGAAAACCTGCCCCGGAGCCCGGGCGTGGAGCCGGGGCCCCCGCGGCGGGGAGGGACACGCGGGGAGGCAGGGATGGCTCCTGCCCCGCGGGTGGAAGGTGCACACGGGGGTGGGAGCGATGCCGGGAGCCCCGTAGGTTTTGGGGTGGTGATGGGGGGGGTTTTTGGGGAGTCCTCGAGGGCTGGGAATTTGAATGGGAGAAGGGCACAGCGGGGTCTTGGGGGGCTTTCCCGGGGGTCTGACTTCTGTGTTTTCTCCTTTGTAGCCTGTGGGGAGACGCTCCAGGACAGCCAGGGTAACTTCTCCTCCCCGGAATTCCCCAATGGATACTCTGCCCACATGCACTGCGTCTGGAGGATCTCCGTCACTCCCGGAGAGAAGGTACCGGCTCCCACCTCCTGCCAGCCCTCCTCTTCCTCCTCCCTCCCTACCCACATCTCCCACCCTTTTTTTTGGGGGTGTCCCTGATCCCAGCATCCCTCTGTGGGCTGAGGGCAGAGCAGGGCCGGGGGCTCCCACCGGCTCCCAGCAGACGGGACGCAGTGGGGGGGCTCACCCCACGCTCTTCCTGCTCCTTCCCAACCTCAGATCATCCTGAATTTCACCACCCTGGACCTGTACCGAAGCCGGCTGTGCTGGTACGACTACGTGGAGGTGAGAGACGGGTTCTGGAGAAAGGCCACGCTGCGAGGTAACAACCCGGGGCCTCCTGCCCGCTCCTCCTGCCCACCGGGAACGCTCCAGCACTGGGACCAGGGGCTCCCCTCGGCCTCTATCCTTGCCTGACTGGTGTTCCAAAGCCCTGGGGTGGGGGGAAACCAACCTCTAGAGGGGTTACTGGGGTGAGAGGAGCTCCCAGTTTGGCCCCGCGCCAGTGAAACCAGTCTGGGTGACCCAGCTGGCTGGCACAGCTCTGCCCAGGGAGGTGCCAGTGTCCCGGTCCCATCCCCATGAGCTGGATGTTCCCCAGGGAGATTCCAGGATCCCGGTCCCATCCCTGCAAGCTGGATGTTCCCCAAATCCCATCTGACCCTGGAATAACCAGTTTAAGTTCTGAAACCACCAGCAAAGCTGGAGGGGAGCGGGGGGAGAAGCAGCGCTTTGGCTTTAGGCTGGGAAGGGGCACAGGGGGCACCAGGAGGGGATGACTGGGAGGAAGAGGAGGGGGTGGCAAGGAAGAGGAGGGGTTCCTGGCCAGCAGGAGCCCAGCATGCCTTCCTCCCCAGGCAGGTTCTGCGGGAACAAGCTGCCCGAGCCCATCATCTCCACCGACAGCCGCCTCTGGGTCGAGTTTCGGAGCAGCAGCAACTGGGTGGGCAAAGGATTCTTCGCTGTCTACGAAGGTAGGGGTGAGCAAGGGGGGCCAGGAGGTCAGTGAAGGGGTTGGAGGGGGGCTCAAGTCGCTGCTCCTCCCTTCCAGCCATCTGTGGGGGGGAAGTGAAGAAGGACAACGGGCACATCCAGTCCCCCAACTACCCTGATGACTATCGGCCCAGCAAGGTGTGTGTCTGGAAAATCACCGTCTCCGAGGGCTTCCACGTGGGATTGACCTTCCAGTCCTTCGAGGTGAGTCAGCATTCCTCCCAGACCGGGACGGGGAGGTGTCCCCAACCAGGGACAGGCCTGGGGCTGCTCTTCCTGGCTCCACATCCCCCCGTGCTGCCTCCCTGCCTCAGTTTCCCCCGGACCTTCGTTCAGCCTGTGGGCAGCAGGGAGGGTTTGGGGGTGCAGGGGGGCTGAGACAGACCCGGTTCTAACACCCCTGCCACCAGATCGAGCGGCACGACAGCTGTGCCTACGACTACCTGGAGATCCGGGATGGCAGCACTGAGTCGAGCAGCCTCATCGGCCGCTACTGCGGCTACGACAAGCCCGACGACATCAAGAGCACCTCCAACAAGCTCTGGATGAAATTCGTCTCCGACGGCTCCATCAACAAGGCGGGTTTCGCCGTCAACTTCTTCAAAGGTGTGGGGGTCGCTCCTGGGAGGGGGTGCTGGGAGGGGTCACGGCCCCTCTTCCCGCTCATCCCGCCCTGCCCTGCCCAGAGATGGACGAGTGCTCCCGGCCCAACAACGGCGGCTGCGAGCAGCGCTGCGTCAACACCCTGGGCAGCTACAAGTGTGCCTGTGACCCTGGCTACGAGCTGGCATCCGACAAGCGCCGCTGCGAGGGTGAGTGCCCCCCCCAGAACGCCCTGACTACCCCCCTAAACGATGCCCCTCGCAGCGTCCCTGACCCCGCGGAGCCCGGGGAGGTGACGGGCGCCGGGTGCCTCCCGCCCTGCAGCCGCCTGCGGAGGTTTCCTCACCAAGCTCAACGGCTCCATCACCAGCCCGGGGTGGCCCAAAGAATACCCCCCCAACAAGAACTGCATCTGGCAGCTGGTGGCCCCCACCCAGTACCGCATCTCCCTCCAGTTCGACTTCTTCGAGACCGAGGGCAATGACGTGAGTGGGCAGCAGACGCTGCTGGGAACCCCTCCCTTCCCCAGGGGGTGGCACAGCCATGTCCCCGTGTTCCACACCCTGTGCCACCCCCCCACGAGGTGTGCAAACACGGCTTTGTGCCCCCCCCCCCCAGGTGTGCAAGTACGACTTCGTGGAGGTGCGCAGCGGGCTGACGGCCGACTCCAAACTGCACGGCAAGTTCTGCGGCGCCGAGAAGCCCGACGTGATCACCTCGCAGTACAACAACATGAGGATCGAGTTCAAGTCCGACAACACCGTCTCCAAAAAGGGCTTCAAAGCCCATTTCTTCTCAGGTAGAGCTGCCAGGCCCCGGCACGGGTGTCCCCTGCCCTTCCTCACCCCTCGGGTCCTCCCCGCGCCCCCCAAACCGCCGCTAACGCTCCCCCTTGCCTGCCCTGGGCGTGCAGCCCCCTGGTTCCAGCCCGGTGATGGGGTGACCCCTGTTGGGGTCTGAATCCTCCCAGCCCCTGCCAGCCTGGCTGGCAGCACATTTTGGGAGGTTTTCCCCTCTTTTTGGGGGTATAGTTGGGTCCGACTTCAGTGCTCTTGGGAGGCCCCCAGATTTCCAGGGGGTGCTGGGGGCCAGCTGGGGACAGGGATGTGCTCGGCCCTGGGTGCTGCACCCCTCGGGTGGCGCTGCCGGGGTGGGGGGACGGTGACACCCTGCTCTGCTGCGCTGCTGCTCCCTGCTACGCTGCACGGCATCGGCTTCCTCCGCTTCCCGGGATCAGCATCCGGCCACGTCTCAGCTCTCCAGGGCGATTCCCTCCTCCCAAAAACCATTACCTGCCTATCCCTGTCCGCTCCACGGTCCGCCCTCCTCTCCTGGGCCACCCCTCCAGGAGCTGGTGTCGCCTTCGGATGGGACTCAGGGGGGTAGGGATGGGCCCATGGAATATAACACTGGATGCAGCCGAGCATCACCCAGGGCTGGACCCTGGGCTGGGGGCTGCCACGGGACCCTCGTGCGAGAGTCCCCTCGGTGTGGCACAGTGCCCTGGACACCATCCTGGCCGTGAGCGACTGGCAGCACCTCTCAGACCCCTCCTGCTGCATTTTGACTGTTTTTGTGGGGCAGTGTGGCCACCTGGCTGCGGGAGCAGCGGGACCGGCATCCCCCGGAGCCCCCTGGAGCTCCCCCAGGGTTCCCCAGAGCGGGGGTCAGGTGTCTTTGCTTTATTTGTTTAATTAAAACCAAGGCAAGTAGGGCGGCCCAGGGGGCCCAGCCGTCGGGAGCCGGCACCCTCCACAAAGTGGATCCTCGGGGAAGCCCCGGTGGCCGAGCAGGACCACGGGGCAGCCGGGTGAGTGTCCCCCACCGTGCTGCGCCTCGGGCTCCTTCCCTCTTCCCACCGGGATGTGATGTGATCCCGTGGGGGCTGCCCCGACCCCAGCCCACCAAACCCTCTCCTCCACCTCTCCGCACCCAGGTCTCGGGCTTTCCCGGCAGCAGGACCACCCCGGAGGACTCGGCCACAGCGGGGCCCCTCTTTCAGTCCCTGCCCCGGGGTCGCTCCCGGCCATGCCTGGGCAAAACATCTCCCGTGCGGCGCCTTTTTAGCCGCGGAGGGTCCCTGAGCTCCGGACGAGCTCCATCCCTCGGTGCCAAGGGCAGCCTGGCCGCCTGGGCGCCCGTTTTCCCCCGGTGAAGACATGGCCCCTTCCTCTTCCTCCTCCTCCTCCTCCTCCTCCTCCTCGTCCTCGCGGGCCGGGGCTCCGTCGGCTCGCGCGTAAGGATGCGGGACAATTCCGCCCGGGAATCCGCCGCGGTGTCGGTGCCCAGGTGAGTGCCCCCGGCTCTCGGCCGAGCCCCGGCACAGGGGGGTCTCCGCAGCGGGGGGGAAGAGGCGCCGGCGGGGGCTGTGGGATCTGCCCGGAGCCCTTCGGATGCCCGCGGGGGAGAACGGTGGTGAGCGCACGGCTGACGCCGGGCGGCGGCGAGCGAGCCGGTTGGAATAAAGGATTGCTAAAGACACCGACCCGGTGGGCTTCTTTCCGCTGCCAACTCTCCTCTGCTCTTGTCTCGCCCGCCCAGGCTCCCTCCCTCCCCCGGTGCTGGAGCTGCTCTGAGCCCAGAAGCCCCTTCCCATCCCCAAATGGGCCTTCCCGCCTCGCTTCCTCCCTCAGACGTAGGAGACTGTCAGGTTACGGCCTCTGGTTGAGAGGCGGGGGGGACTGGGGCAGGGCCCCCCTCACTGCTGGCTCCGGGAGGGATGCTCCTGTCCGGCACAGCGGGATGCTGGGGGGGGCTGGTGCTGATTGCTGCTGATTCCAACCCCACAACGCCCACTCCTCAGACCACCACCTCGTGGGGAGGGGGAGCGAGGGGGAAAAGAATGGGACGTGGAGCATCTCTGGAGGGGGGTTTGGGTGTGCTGAGACATCGGCCATAGGCCCCTCGGGAAAGGCGGTGGGATGGGAGGTCAGCTCAGCCAGCAAGGGGGTGCTCCCGAACCCCTCCACTGCCATTCCCAGACTGGACACCCCCAGGAGCTCGCGCAAAGCCCACCCTCATCCTCCTGGAGCCAGCCCCGTGCCTCCTCCTCCTCTTCCTCCTCTTCCTCCCCACAGAGCCGCTCGCCCCGGGCTGCAGAGGGGGCTCCCGGGGTGTCCCCCTCGCTGTTGCTTCCTCGGCTGCTGCTCCGCATGTCCCCCCCCCTCCCGCCCCCGCCACCCCCCGCGCCCCCATCGCTCCCCCCCTTCTCTCCCTCTCTCTTTGCAGAGAAGAAGCAGCAGCTGCAGCCCCCGAAATCTCGCCCGCCCGGCCTGAAGTTCCGCCTGCAGAAGCGGCTGCGGGGCCCCTCCTGAGCCGCTCCATCCTCTCCACCTTTCTCAGGAACGCCGCGGCCCCGGAGCCATGCGGGAGCACGGCGGGACCGAGCCGAGCCGTGCCGCCGGCCCCCCGGCAGCCTTTTGCTTGACAGAACTGGTTGTTGACCTTATTTTTAATTTTTTTAAAAATTTTTAAATTTTTTTTTTTTTTTTTTTTTTTTTTTTGTTCCAAGCACCCCATATTCCTTTGTTTGTTTACCAGCTGACCTTGGTGTTTTTTTTTCTTCCCCCCCACCCCTCCGATTTTTACCATGTCTGTGACATTTCCTATCGATGAGTAAAGAGGGACCTCCCGCGTCCTGGTCTTTTCTTGTGCATCTTTGGTTGTCACTGTGTGTTTTTCTGCCTCCCCTCCCAACCCCGTCCATCCCGGCAGCAGGTAATGGTGGCACCCATGGGTGAGCCCACGGGAGAGGAGGACCCATCCCGCCCCTGGATGGGGCTGGATTTGGAAGCGGGACGCTGGAGCTCTGCTTGCTGCTGGCTGTGGGGCGCTTGCTTGGCTGGGTGCTCCGCGGAGGGCGTGGGGCTGGTGGGGCTGGGATGCCGTGCCGGGCTGGAATATCCCACTCCAGGGTTTTCCCACCCCGCTCAGTGATCCCTCTGCTCTCTCCCAGACAAGGACGAGTGCTCCAAGAACAACGGGGGCTGCCAGCACGAGTGCCTCAACTCCTTCGGCAGCTACGAGTGCCAGTGCCGCAGCGGCTTCGTGCTGCACGACAACAAGCACGACTGCAAGGAAGGTGGGCTCATCCCGCGCCCCGGCCCTGTGGGACACCCCCACTCCGTGCATCCGTGACCCTTTCCCTTGTCCCGGCAGCCGGCTGTGACCACAAGGTGACATCCATCTCCGGGACCATCACCAGCCCCAACTGGCCCGACAAGTACCCCAGCAAGAAGGAGTGCACCTGGGCCATCAGCACCACGCCGGGGCACCGCATCAAGCTGGTAGGGACTGTGGGGTGGGGAGTGCTGGAGTGCCCTCCACTGAGCCCCACCAACAACTCCATCCATCGCCTCCTCAGACCTTCTCGGAGCTGGACGTGGAGGCGCAGCAGGAATGCGCCTACGACCACCTGGAGATCTACGACGGGAAGGACGCCAAGGCCCCAGCGCTCGGCCGCTTCTGCGGGGCCAAGGAGCCCGAGCCCGTCGTCTCCTCGGGCAACAAGATGTTCCTCAAGTTTGTCTCCGACAACTCCGTCCAGAAGAAGGGGTTTGAGGCCACCCACACCACAGGTAGCGCCGTGGGGCTGGGAAATGGGGCCGTGGGGTGCGGGGAGAGCGTGGACGCCCCTAAAGGCCGGTTTGTCCCCCAGTGTGCGGAGGCCAGGTCCGCGCCGAGGTGAAGACCAAGGACTTGTATTCCCACGCACAATTCGGGGACAACAACTACCCGGGGGGCTCGGACTGCGAGTGGGTGATCATGGCAGAGGAGGGGTTCGGCGTGGAGCTCATCTTCCAGACCTTTGAGATCGAGGAGGAAGCCGACTGCGGATACGACTACATGGAGCTCTTCGACGGCTACGACGGGACGGCCCCGCGCCTCGGCCGCTTCTGCGGGTCAGGGGTGAGTTGGGGAGGAATTGGGACAGGGTATGGGGTTTGGAACAATGTTAGGGTTGGGGTTAGGGAAGGTTAGAGCGGTGTGAGGGTGCAGCGTGACAGGCAAGGCCCAGCCAGTAGAAATCCCTGGGGGAATTCGATGTGGTGCGACAATTTGCACCCTCCCCGTTGGAAAAATCCCCCCTCCCTCCCACCGTGCACACGCATCCCGGGAACGTCCAGGGATGTGAGCACTCCCTCCCTCTCCCTCACAGCCCCCCGAGGAGATCTACTCGGCCGGAGACTCCGTGATGATCCGCTTCCACTCGGACGACACCATCAACAAGAAGGGTTTCCACCTTCGCTACACCAGCACCAAGTTCCAGGACACGCTGCACACGAGGAAATGAGGGCCGGGGGTCCCGGCCCCACCCCCGCGGGCAGGGGAGGAGGATGAGGAGGAGGAGGAGGAGGAGGAGGAGGAGAAGAGCAGGGAGGAAGGTGGGGAGCGCTGCTGCCCCGCACAGACTGCACGGAGGAGGAGCACACAGCCAACCTCAGCACTCAAGACACGCTCGCACGGGGCGCCGGGGCTCGGGCGCCCACGGCACGGGGGGCACGGGGAGGGGGGCCCTGCTGGAAACCACCCACCCCGGTGCTGGGGGTGGGGCCTGAGCGGGACCCGCTGCCCTTCCCTGCCCCGGCCGAAGCTCTGAATGTACAAACCAGTAACCAGGAAGAGCCCAAAACACACACACAAGGTGCTGTCTCTCTCTTGTACCCATGAAATAAATACCCTTGTACTTGGAGCGGGGCAGCCCCGGCCTCTTTGCTTCCGCCCCGGGAAAAAACGGCATCCAAAACGGGGCTGGAATAGCGGGGGGAGAGCCCCCGGCACCCTGCACGGACCCCCATCCTCAGGGCTCTGATGGAGCAGAGCCAGCAACCCTGAAGGAGCAGCCAGACCGTGTCCCAGGGGTGGTGGGACCCGTGACGGGTGATGGGGTCTGTCAGAGCCCCCCACTCCCCCAGCACTCTGCAGAAGGGTGCTCCCCCCCACATACACACCCCCTGTATCTCACCCTCCCCCAGCAGCACCCCAGTGTGGGTGGGTGGGTGCCACGTGCCGTGCCCACCGCGTGCCGTGCCCACCGCGCGCTCCGGGTGCCGGTGGCAGATGGCGGGTGGGCTGTGCCGCGGCCCCCGCGCCCACCGCGTGCTCCCTCGTGCCTCCCCTCCATCCCGAGCGCTCTGCCGGTGCGGAACACGTGTGTGATGGTGTCAGGATGGGGCTGGGATGCTCTGGAGTGGCTGTTCCCAGGTGGAATGGTGATGGGCCCCGGGGTTTTGCATCCAGAGGGTTTTTCAGTTCTGATGGTGGAAAGAGGGTACCGAATTCAGGGAGTGTTTCAGCTTTTCAGTGACAGGACAAGGAGTGATGGTCCATAAACTTAACCACAAATATCTCCAAGGGATGCCAGAGGATGGAGCCATACTCTTCCCAGTGGTGCCCAGTGACAGGACAAGGCCACAAACTAAACCACAGTGTGAGGAAGAACTTCTTTCCCTTGAGGATGGCAGAGCTGCCCAAGGAGGGCGTGGAGTCTCCCTCTCTGGAGACATTCCAAACGTACCTGGATGTGTCCCCACCTGCTCGGGGCAGAGGGGGTTGGACAGGAAGATCTCCTTCCATCCCGAACCTTCCTGTGAGCTGGCGAGGGCGGGAGGGTTACCAGTGACCGCCTCAGCACCTTGTCCCCTCCCAGTCCC